GCCGGCCAAAACACCCCAAACCGTGGTATCCAAGGGTACTCCAGATTTCGTAATAAAGGGAGGGGGGTCTCATTTCGGGGGGGGGTCTCTTCCACTCAATCTTGGAGGGCCTGGGGGGTCTGGGGACGATGTTTTGGAGGGTTCTCCCACGGGGGAGGTCTAAAACTTCTCGTCTGGGAGGGTTGAGACCCCCTCCCTTTTATTACGAAACCTGGAGTATCCAAAGGTACCCTCCCCCCGTGCGACAGCACACAGTGATTACCCGGGCCCCTCGTCTCTCTGCACACATCTTCTGCGGCCCGTCGCGGTGCGTCTCGTCGGCGGCACCGTGCAGGGATGGCATCCGGGCGCCACAGTGCCACCTGCAGCCAGGCTGAGAGTTCGAACGAGCGGCGCGAAGGCGTACCGACCGAGCAGGGACCGACCGTCCTGGAATTCCTACAGGCCTACCACGACATGTTCTGAGAACCAAGGAATCCCCGAAAAACAAGAACAATGTTCCTGGAACTATGCAAAAACGGTTTAAAACAAGATTGTCTCGGCAAGAAATGTCTAAGAACATTTAGTGCAAACCACAAGAGGCCTACAGGCGAGTAAGGACGCTTCGCCACTGCTTGAACCGAAGCCACAGGCTCAAACGCGAAGCCTCGAACGACTGGCCGTGGCAGACGGGGCCGTGCCAGAGCGCAGTCCTGCGACTGGTCACCGGCTCCCCTGATCGACCCGCAGGTGGGCTCCGAACCAATCACATGCCGACCTCGGGTGCCGCGCATCCCCCCTCGGTGCGGAGGCTCGAGCACCGAACCAGGAGGCAGTCGATCGACTGGCTGTCACAGTCGGCCTGCAGTCTGATACTCGTGCACACGCTGCCGAAGGCTAAGTCTGCGGTGCCCTTCGCGTCGGGAGAGGAGACGCGTCCTGCGGCCTGTCCAGACAAGCAGAAAGTGCCTTCGAGGAAGAGCACTGGAACGCCGGCACAGGACGGGAAACGGCTGGAGGAAAGAAAGCAGAGAAGATGGAGGAGAAGGAAGTGGATGATAAGAGTAGGAGCTCGACCACAAGAAACCTTCCACAAGAAACCCAACCCTGAGACCCCAGGGCATCCATCGATCTTGAACGTGGGAACGTCACGCTTTCCATCGCTAAACCATCGAAACCCAAGAAACCCAAGGCAGCCTGGAGGCAAGCAGGGTGTTTCTTGGCATGGGTCTCCACTGCAAGAATGAGGAAGAGGCGGCGGCGAAGATGACGAGGAGGCGGGCAAAAGCACACACTCTTCATGGGGAGCACAAAATGCCGAAGAGAAGTAGCACACGACTACCTGGAGATGCGCACGTGTGGAGGGGTGAAGAAATTTGAAGTGACTGCACCACTCCATCCTCGAGCCGGGGACAAAAAAGAAGCAAGGAGTGCACGAGAAAGCAGCAGGATGAAAGCGGCTCGGCACCTTTGGCAGCCAAAGCCTCCGTGATCATCTGCTCCTCCGAACCCAGATCACAAATCGACCACGACTCAACAGAGAAAATCGGCCCCGCAGCTGGCCCAGGCAGCACATAACTAGTGCACAAGTGATCTGACGCTGGCCCAACATAGCCACCCCAGGGCACCTGCAACAGACAGTCTGAAAACGCTATGTATCGCTACCAACAAACAGTGGCTCTGAAAGGTGGAACGGTTCGGGCAGTTCAAAATCGAACAGCAGGGTCGCAACGTCAACGAGAACATGCGTACGCGCGCGTACGCGCGTGAACGAGTTGCCCAAGTGGTGCGCCATATTTCATCCGTTTATGATGCTGACCTTACGCGCGCCTACAGTCAAAATCATATTGTTATTCGCTCACATGTCTGGTCTGCTGCACCCTGAGGCGGATTATGAAATCCCACCAGCCCTCTGCCCTCTGGGCGCAGGTGGGCTAGAGCGTTTCCTTTTCCAACCTCTTTCCTCCCTCTGGTCGGGGAGGTTTACTACCCCCCCCCCCTCCCTGCGTCTGGTCGGGGGGGGGCGAGGGGTTAGAGCGCCCAAGATGGCCCAAGATGGCTCCAAGAGGGCCCCAGAGACCCAAAGATAGCCTCCAAGATGGCTCAAGATAGCTCAAGATGGCTCATGATAGCCTCCGACACGCACCCAAAAGGCCTCAAGACGGCCCCAACAGGGTTTCAAGTACCCTCCGAGCCCTCCAAGGACCCCCCCAAGAAACCAAAATCCTTGAAAAACCTACGGAAATCAATGTGTTTCGCGCTGTTTCGCCTCCGACGGGCTCTTGAAGTCTTTAGATGGCCCCAAGACGGCCCAAGATAACCCCAAGAGGGGCCCAAGAGGGCCCCAAGACGGCCCCAAGAGCGCCCAAGAGCGCTCCGAGAGCGAACCAAGAGGGCCCCAAGACGGCATCGTTGGGCCTCCTAGGGGGGGGGCTGAATTTCAGCCGATCTGTTTTTCAGCCGTGGCGTCTAAGATGACCCCGAGAAGCCACCCAGACCCCCCCAAAGAGCCCCAGAAGGGCTCCAAAGACCCTGCAATGACCCTGCAAAAACCCAGCACTGACCCTGCAAACGCCCTGCAGTATCAAACTCCTTCCTCCCCTGCTTGGGAGGTGTACCTCCCCCCTCCCTGGGCGTGGCTCATAGCAGCGTCCAAGATGGTCCAAGACGGCTCCAAGAGGGCCCTACAAAGCCAAAGATAGCCTCCTCCTCCTCCCCATTTTCTGTTGTTACTCCTCTTCGAGAGAGCACGCCCACAGCGCTGGAGCAAAGGGGGGGTCCCCCCTTAGCTACCCCGCCTCCCTACCACCTCCCCTGCTGGAAGCTCCCCCCCCCTCCCCCCCCTTTCTCGCTTCCCCCCTGAAGCTACTCCCCCCCTCCCCCCCTTTCGCCACTCCGAAGCTACCCCCCCCCCCTCCCCCCCTTTCCAAAGAGAGGGGGGTGGGCTTAGCTACCCCCCTCCTCCCCTTGACCCCCTTTTGCCGGAAGCTCCCCCCCCCCTTGGTTCCAAAGGGGGGGAAGGGCTTAGCAGCCCCCCCCCGCTCTCCCCCTTTCGGCACCCGGGAAGCTCCCCCCCCCTGCCCCCTTACGAAAGGGGAGGGGAGCTTAGCAACCCCCTCCTCCTTTGACCCCCTCTGCCGGAGGCCCCCGCCGCCTTCCCTCAATTTGTCCCCCCCTGCCGGAAGCTGCCCTCCCCTCCCCCCCTTTCCAAAAGGGGAGGGGCGGCTTAACTACCACCCCCCTCCCTCGAAATCCCCCTGCCGGACGATCCTCCACCGTCGCCGTCGTCATTACCGCCGCCGTCGCTCGACGTCTTCGTACGACGCCGTCGTCGTCCTCGTCGCCCTCGTCGCCGTCAATGTCGCCGTCTTCGTACGACCTCGTCGTGGTCGTCACGACAAGGACGAGGTCATACGAAGACGGCGACGGACGACGGACGACGGATGGCGCACGACCGACGACCGACGACGACGACGACCCAGGGGCCGAGAAAACGAGACCACGACCCAGGGGCTGAGAAAACGAGGAAACGAAGCAGGGTCCGAGAAAACGAGACCACGGCCCAGGGGCCGAGAACACGAGAAAACGAGAAAACAAACCGAAGTCCCAAAAAACGAACCAGGGTCCGAGAAAACGAGACCACGACCCAGGGGCACAGAAAACGCGAAAACAAACCAGGGTCAGAGAAAACGAGACCACGACCCAGGGGCCGACAAAACGAGAGAACGAGTAAACAAACCAGTGCCCGAGAGAACGAAACCACGACTCAGAGGCCGAACAAACGAGACAACGAGAAAACAAGCCAGGGCCCGAGAAAGCGAGAACACAACTCAAGGGCCGAGAAAACGAGAAAACGAACCACGGCCCGAGAAAACAAACCAAAAAACCAGGGGCCGAGAAACGAGAAAACGAGACAACGGACCAGGGTCCGAGAAACGAGACCACGACCCAGGGGCCGAGAACACGAGAAAACGAGAAAACGAACCCCAAAGTCCGAGCAAACGAGACCACGACCCAGGGGCTGAGAAAACGAGAAGACGTGAATCGAACCAGGGCCCGAGACAACGAGACCACGACCCAGAGGCCGAGAAAACAAGAAACGAGAACACGAACCAGGGGCAAAAAAATCGAGACCACGACCCAGGGGCAGAGTAAACAAAAGAACGATAAAACCAACCAGGGTCATAGAAAAAAACCACAACCCAGGGGCCGAGAGACGGAGAACACGAGAAACCAAGCCAAGGCCCGAGAAAACGGGACCACGACCCAGGGGCCGAGAAAACAAAAAAAGAACCAGGGTCAGAGACAATGACAACGAGACCACAACCCAGGGGGCGAGAACACGAGACAACAAAAAAACGAACCAGGGTGCGAGGAAAAATGAGACCACGACCCAGGGGCCGAGAAAACAAGAAAACGAGACCACGAACCAGAGCCCGAGAAAACAGCACAAAAACCCAAAACCGAGAAAACGAGAAAACGAGACAACGAACCAGGGTCCGAGAAAACGAGACCACGACCCAGGGGCCGAAGACACGAGAAAACGAGAAAACGAACCAAAGTCCGAGCAAACGAGACCACGACCCAAGGGCACAGAAAACACGAAAACGAACCAGGGCCCGAGAAACCACGACCGCGAGCCGAGAAAACGAGAAAACGAGAAAAGGAATCAGGGCCCGAGAAAACAAGACTATGAACCAGGGGCCGAGAAAACAAGAAAACGACAAAACGAACCAGGGTCAGAGAAAACGGGACCACGACCCATGGGCCGAGAAAACAAAAAAACGATAAAACGAACCAGGCCCCGAGAACACGAGGCCACGACACAGAGGGCGAGGAAACGAGAAAACGCGAAAACGGCCCACGACCCAGGGGCCGAGAAAACGTGCAGGGTCTGACGAAACCACGACCCAAGGGCCGAGATCACCAGAAAACGCTTGGTTCGAGAAAACGAGACCACGACCCTGGAGCCGACAAGACGAAGAAACGAGAAAACGAAACAGGGTCAGAGAAAACGAGACCACCACCCGGTGGGCGAGACAACGAGAAAACGATAATACTAACCAGCGCCCGAGAAAACAAAACCACGACCCAGGGGCCGAGAAAACGAGAAAACGAGAAGACTAAGCAGGGTCCGAGAAAACGAGACCACGACCCAGGGGCCGAGAAAACGACAAAACGAGAACACGAACCAAGGTCAGAAAAAACGAGACCGCGACCCAGGGACCGCAAACAACAAAAAAACAGAAAACGAACCAGGTGCCGAGAAAACGGAAAAACGATAAAAGTAATCAGGGCCCGAGAAAACGAGACTACGAACCAGGGGCAGAGAAAACAAAAAAACAAGAAAACGAACCAGGGGTCGACGTTATTCGCCAATGCGTTCTCTAGCGTTGCGGCGCGCACCTGTCTGCAGGGATCCAGCCATTTGCCATGACCCCGGAAGGGAGGGGGGGGTAGCTTCGGAAGCCCCCCCCATTTGTAAAGGAGAGCGGGGGGGGACGTTGAAGCCGCCCCCACCCCTGTGTCCAAACCAAAAACTGAAGGAGGGGGGGGGTAGATCCCGAAGCCCGCCCCCCCTTTGAAAGGGAAGCCCCGGCCCACCTTCTGCTCCGGAGAAGGGAGGGAGGGGGGGGATAGCTTCGAAGCACCCCCTCTTTTAGCGAGGGCCCCCCTAGCTTAGAAACCCTTACTGAAGGGAGGGGGGGATAGCTTCGGAAGCCCCCCCCCTTTTGGAAGGGAGGGGGGGTAACTTGAAGCTGGGGCCCCCATTCCTTATTCCTGGCGTTGCGGGCGCGTTCTTTCCTCTTTCTCCTCCTACCCCATAGATGGTCCCAGCATCAGCACCACCACCAGCAGGAGCACAACCAGCAGCACCAGCAACAGCAGAAACAGCATAAACAACAGCAGCACCAGCAGCAGCATCAGCAGCAGCACCGGCAGCAGCACCAGCACCTGAGCAATTTCGAAACGCACACGAGTTGAAGATACAAGCCAGTGCAAGGGCTAAGATCATGAATGCCCATCGAGATGCGACTCGAATATGCGCAACATTGGCGTCGGATCGTAGATACAGCAACCTGCGCCAAAGACGCTTACTATAATGAAAACCATGGCGCATCTTGCACCTGATGTCTGTCTTGAGCTTCACTGCGCGAAGCGTTTTGAGGTCGTTGTTTTCTGACCCACGGCACTGCCCACCCAGTTCTGACGCTTCCAAAACGGTTGTGCGACCGCGTGCTTCCAGGCGTCCCTGATTAAACGACTCACCTGGTAATCGTTTCTATATGGGCTGACGTCAACAGTTCGGAAAATGCTACGTGATGTGTTGGTTTCTCATTGATTAATTCGTTGTTCCGTTGTGGGTAGCCCGCGGAGCCCACCGCACCGACGCCCGACCCCCGCCGCCTGCCAGCAAAGGCGGTGCCTAAAAACGTGCGTCTGCCTGTGTTCCAAAAGTTGCGTTGTGCACGATGCCTTTTGTTTCCCAAACAGCGTTTGACCTGAAGGGTTCTTACTTCGTCTCTAAAGAACTGCGCCTGCCCGTCGGTCTGGCGGCTGTGGTCGCCGTCGCCGCCCCGTCACCGCCTCGTCGGCGCCCGTCTTCTGGGTCTGCCCGTCGGCCTGGCGGTTGTGTGGTCGCCGTCGCCGCCCAGTCGTTCTGGGCCTGCCCGTCGATCTGGCGGCCCTGCGGTCGTTGTAGTACATTCCACGGATTTGCGTCGCTTCCCTTGCAGTGCTCTGCACTGTGCCACATTTCTTTGCATTGCTTTGCACACCACGTAGATTGCACCACGTGGATTGCACCATGCCAACTGCACCACAGTATTTGCTCCACATACATTGCACCGCATATATTGCCAAAAAACCTTGGCGCGGACGCCACGTGACTCGGCGCGTCGCAACGCGACGATGGGTGCGGCGCTCGACCCTGGCCGCGCGCAGCACGGCCCCGAGCCCGCCGTGACTCTGGCACTAGCCTGTGCCGCCGGCCCAACAGAGCGCCCAGGGCGAACACCCCAAGCCGAATGGCCACCAAGGGAGCGGTGGACGGGCAAAAGCCGCACCGCAGGTGCCCCTCGCCGAGCATGGCGGGACACCCGCCCAGCCAGCCGAGCTTGCGCGGCGCCCCTCCCAGCCTTGGGCGGCGCAAGCGCCCCCTCGCGCTCTCGCCTATGCAAGCACGGCGCGACGCCTCGCGCCCATCGCTTGGGCTCGCGTTGCCCCGTGCCGCTGTGCGTCGCGCGGATACAGCCAGGCGTTTCCTCTCTCTCTCCCCCGCGCATCGCGGCTTAACTCGCCTTCGTACGTCCTACGCATGCTCATCCGCCAGCGCACTCGCTCTGACTAGCCGCCGACGCAAAAGAGCGTCGCGCGGGGCCCCCCTCACTGTCGCCCAGGCATGGGGGCCCGGGTGGGGGGGGCGCTGGCCCCAACGTTTCATGCCCGCGATCAACGATGCACGACGGTCGCCCACAAGAAATCATTGGGGCCCAGGCTGGCTAACATCTTGTTGTGTGCGGCGCGCTGAGCGCCGCATCTTTCGTGCTATGTGCTGCGAGTTGTGGATTGCGTTGCGTCCTTTGCAGGTAACCTCCTTGTGCCAACCATCTCACAAAGTCCTCTCAAAATGATGAACCGAATGGTCCCCCTCTGCGGCCGCAGAGGTACCCAATATGCCTTCTAAGATGGCTCCAGAAGGACTCCAACACGCTGGACAGGCCTCATGAACAACTAAGACGGCCTGAAAAAGGTCCCAGGCGGCCCCAAGACAACCGGAGAGGGCCGCAAGAGGACCCCCAAGGGGGCCTCAAGAGGCACAAGTCACTGGTTCCCATATGTTCTCCAATGATTATTGCGTTCTCGCCTCTTCACGCTGCCGAAGATCCAAGACGTCCCGACAGGCCCCCACAGCACAGCCCAAGGTGACCGAGGAGGCCCCGAAGAGGGCCCCGAGACGGCCCCGATGGGACCTGGACACGGCCCAAGAGGCCCCCCCAGACCGCCAGAAGAAGGCCCTCGAGAGGGCCCCCCCAACACGAGCCGACGGCCCAGGGAGCCCAGGAGAGCCTCCCCGACAGAATGGCCCCCAAGACCCCCAGCGCACTCCAAGCAAGAGGCCCACAAGAAGCCCCCAGAAGGCCGCCCAAAGTCCCCCAAGAGCCTTGAAGAGGTTCCAGGACGCGGCCCTCGAGGCCTCCGTGATGCTCCCAAGAAGTCGCGCAACTGACGCGGAGGAAGAGGAGGACGAATCGGCAAGAACTACGAGCAGACAGCACGAGGGAAGCGGGAAACAACACATGCGAAATTGGAAGCCGCACCTCATCTGGGGGTCGGTGGAATGGCGTAGGCATCTCAAATATTACAACCACGTTGCACCTCTATACGCATCTCTGGCAAGACACTCACAAGCATGGACGCAATTGCTCGAAACTGACCAGCCGCGAACCCAGCGTCGGCCTGGCAGAGGAGCGCACCTAAGTTCGGCCCACTCCACCACTCGCGACACCGCTGGCCCATGTACGCGCCAACAGCGCGTCGCCAAACATATCCACCACAAAGCCGCGAGACACTGAGCAGAGCCCCTTCAAAGCCTTGAGTGCTCCGAATACTGAATCTTCCACACCAGAGTGAGAAGGGTGAACGAGACTACACCGTCCCATGGTGCGTGGCTGAAGTGGGGTCCGCGCTGCAATGCATTGTAGTTTGTCGTCGTCAGACCTGCGACCCATCCGCGACACACCACGCGAACCACCCCGCGATCCGCTCCGCGACCCACCCGCGACCCACGCGACACCCACCCGCGACCCACCCCGCTACTCACCTCACGACCTAACCGGGACCCATCCCGCAACACACCGCAACTCACCCCACGACCCAACCCACGACCCACCCGCCGCCCAACCCACGACCCACCCCACGACCCACCCGCGACCAACCCCGAGACCCATCCCGCGACCCTCCCCGCGACCAAATCGCGACCCACCCCGCGACCCACCCGCGACCCATCCGCGACCCATCCGCGACCCATCGGCCCCATACGGCGGGCTCGTTGCGCAATGTGTGAAAGCATCTGCGCCAGCGACGGGCTTCTTCGCATCTGCCTCCGAGCACTGCAAGCTGCCGACGACCCCCAACCCCATCACTCTTATCCGCAACTTCGGGAGCAGTGGTGATTTCGAGCGCCTCAGGTCCTGAATTCTCTGAAATCTTGGACACTTCCAGGCGCTGCTGGGGCGTGAGTCGTGAGGTTTCCCCAGGCCCAGGGAGCGTGGTTGGGAGTCCACGCTGCTCGCGTGTCCTAAGATTGCCCCAAAGGCCTGTCCTGGGGCCGCCCAGGGGGCCCCAAGAGGGGCCCTCCCCGGCCCCAGGACGGCCAAGAAATACTCGGGATAAGGGCAGGGAAAGCCGCAGGATGCCTCCTCCACTTCATGTCAGAAGGCTCTGTGTGTCAGCTATGTACTTGATTGGTGCGGGTTCAACCATTTTACAGCCACTGGCCTTCCACAGTTATGATGTGCTTCTGCCGTTTGGTTTAGACTGGAGCTTCCTTCTCGGATACTGCGGCACAAGCGGCGGCTCGAATTTCAGAAGGGCGGAAATATCTAAAGGGCCCAAGGACACACTAATAGATACACACAAATCCCCAGATTTCTAACATTTTCCCATATTTGCTGGGATTTCGTCTTCCCCCCCACTTCCCATATTTTCCAACATTTCCATGGTAATCGACGATTAATTGTGTCTGCGTGTTCTTCTCCTCCTGAGTATCATCGGTTTCGGCCAATCCGACCATCGCGCCTGGGTCGCGAACCGAAGGTCTTCGAGAGGCCCCTTAGACCCTCCTCTTGGAACCGGCGCCGCCGCCGCGCCGACGCGGCGCGAACCCCGCCGCACCCCCTCCCCTCCGTTTTCTCCACGTCGCCGACAAACGAGACGTTGCCCTGCTGGTCGTTCAGGCCGCACTCGATCTTGATGTCCGCACCGCTGCGGTGGCGGATGTCCTGGACCGTCTCGCCGCCTGGCGCGCGCGGTGCGAGGCGGAGCCGGGCCACCCCACAAAATCATTGCACCGATCTTGCAGACGTGCTGCAGCGGATTTTCGCGTGGATTTCGGTCAACGCAAAGCCCTGAAACGGCGAGTGAAAACCGAAGCGAATTTCACGTGGATGTTTGTTCGTCTTCATTCCTGGCCAAAAAAGATCCGCACGAAGCTACCTTCCAACTCCGGGACGAAGTTCTCCAGGACAATCCAAGCCCATCCCGGTGTTTTCCGAACGAAGTCCGCTCTGCGATCTTGGCGCCACGACTCGTCACAGAGGGCGGAGGCGGCGGCCAGGCTCCAATGGAGAGGGAGGGAGGGGGGGAGGGGAGGGGAGGGGAGGGGAGGGGAGGGAGGGAGGAGGGAGGAGGAGGAGGAGGAGGAGGAGGAGGGAGGAGGAGGAGGAGGGGAGGGAGGGAGGGAGGAGGGGAGGAGGGAGGGAGGGAGGAGGGAGGAGGAGGGAGGGGAGGGGAGGGGAGGGAGGGGAGGGGAGGGGAGGGGAGGGGAGGGGGAGGGGAGGGAGGGAGGGGGAGGAGGGAGGGAGGGGGGAGGGAGGGAGGAGGAGGAGGAGGAGGAGGAGGAGGAGGAGGAGGAGGAGGAGGATCACCGATGCTGGCCAGGCTCACCAGAGGTGGGTGCCTGCGCCCTGCGGGCCTGGCCACAGGAGGCGCGGAGGCCGCTCCGAGGGCCCGGGATCGGCGGGGTGGTCGGGGGAGGGCGCGGCACGAGCGGAAAGGTTGTGTTTAAACTATTGATTATTATTCGGGGAGGAGGAGGAGGAGGAGGAGGAGGAGGAGGAGGAGGAGGAGGAGGCGGAGGAGGAGGCGGAGGAGGAGGAGGAGGAGGAGGAGGATGAGGAAGGGGGAGGAGGAGGAGGAGGAGGAGGAGGAGAGGAGGCTATTGATTATTATTCAGGGATGGACAGACCCTCTACAGGGAGAGTATTCAAAAATAGTCAAAGAAAATAGTATGGAGACGGTTAGTTCACTACTTTTGCCCCGCTGGGGGGTATGGTTTGCGTATCTGTGATGCTTCGCCCCAGAATCCCCCCCATAGGGGGACACGCCCGACCTGAGCCTTTGGGCGTGGGAACGCTGCGCCACTGCTTGCTATCCCAGTCGGGGATGGACAGAACCCCCTTTAGCAAAACGTGGTTTAGTGAAAACGACCTGAGGCCCAATCCTGGCGGGCGCAAGCCTGGAAAATAACGGCCACGGCGCCCTCTCGAGAACCGAAAACGGACAATTCACTAATCGACGTGTCACTGTTGGGGGTTCTGCCCACCCCCGAATTATCTCTTTTTTGTCGCGGCACGACCACAAAGTTGTGAGCGTTTTCTGATTCGGCGTGTCGACATCGGGCGGAAGGGGCGGGCGAAAGGGGGGGGGGGGGTCTGGCCCCGGGCTTCTGCTCGGCGCGGCTGTCTGGAACCGTGGGTCCTCTGGGGGGGGGGACCCGCTCGAAACAGGCGCCAAGAACAGCCAAGATCCACTCTGGGGGGGGGGGAGGGCGGGGGAGGAGGAGGAGGAGGAGGAGGAGGAGGAGGAGGAGGAGGAAGAGGAGGAGGAGGAGGAGGAGGAGGAGGAGGGGAGCGAGGGCCCGCGCTGATCGGCAAAACAGTGAGTAAAGAAGCGATCGCCTGCGGAGGTCCACGCGGATGTCTCGGATGGCCACCGGGCCCCCCCTCGCTGACGCGCGGAGAGCGCCAGGGGTGGCGCCCGAGGTGCCGCCAGGGGAGGTCAGCGTAGGGTCCAAGGCATCTGCGCGGCGCTGCGAGAACGTATGGCTGCGTGCTTTCGTTCTTCGACTGCGACAGGAGGATCCACGAGTATCTCTGGCGGCGCCAGGGGAAGGGGGCCCAGCGATTCGGACGCCCGAAGTGGGCACGGAACCGTGGAGGCGATGCTCCACAACACGTGTTGCCCAAGACCGACAGCGGCCGCTGCTGGGAAGGCGGCCTCGTGTCTTCGACGGGCAGCGCCCGCTGACGCACCCACAGCGAGCCCTGTTCAGAGTGGGCAGGAACCGCTGCAGGATCGGCCATCATCGCATCGGGAAATCGGGTCGAATCGACATGTGCGTCGGAACGGTCCGCATCGGCACGGAACCGAATCGGATCGGAACGGATGCGCCAGGATGCGCAACACCGCCATGCAGGCACCGGGCCGCATCGGATCGCCAGGATGTCGGAGTCGAATCGGATCGGCCCAGCCGGCATCGACATCGAGTCGGATCGATCGGATCGAGGTGGACCCCGAGTGGACAGGAACTGCTGCCGGGAGGAGGAGGAGGAGGAGGAGGAGGAGGAGGAGGAGGAGGAAAGAGGGGCGAGGACGGAGGAGGGGGAAGGATGGACGAGGAGCAGGGACAAGGGAGGGCTGCTCAGGACTGAGCATACCGCACCAGGGTGCGACAGGGGGTGCGAACCTGAAACTCAGCACCCTGCACTGAGGCGCTGCACAGGAGGCGGAGAGCCCGCGCGGCTTGCCCTTCCCACGACTTTGCCGTGGGAAGCTGCACGGACATCTGGAGTGCGGCCGTCTCGCCCCGCGTGGTCGCAGGTGTATAGGCATTTGCCGATATTGGTAAGGTTAAATCGGGCGTGTCCCCCTACAGAGGGATTTTCGGCGAAAAATGAAAAATATACAAAACATACTCCCCAAATGGGCAAACATAGTCAAAAACTCGTCCCCAGGTCATGTTTTGACTATGCTTGAAGATTCCTCCTGTAGCGGGACAGGCCCGACTCAATGGTAAGATTCGCCTCGCCCTTGCGCGAGAGGCCTGCACAGGGCGCTGCCGAGCGGCGCGGGCCTCGCGCCGCCGTGGGTCCGCGGGCGCAGCAGGAACATCCGGGCAGAAACGGCGCGGGGCCCGCGGCCGCCCACGCCGACGGGCCCACAGACCGCCTCGACCAGCTCACTGGCCGCTGGCCCTGGTCTGAAGGGGCCCTGGGACACACAAACAAGTGGCACGCGTGCCGTGGCTCTTGCACAATTGAGAGAGAAGAAAGAGGCGCCTTGTGCCGCGCCAGTGTGTGTCGACTGGGCCTGTCTGAGTGGATCTGTCGGAAAGCGGAGGAATGGGACATGGGGCGATGACGTCGCTAAATAGACACAAATAGCAGGATTCCCCATCTTCCCATAGTTCCTGGGTTGTCGTCTGCCCCCCCCCCACACCTCCCATAGTTTCCAATATTTTCCCGGGGGTCGACGATGAATTGTGTCTGTGTATGTTTTCCCCTCCTGGCAGTTCACTGGCCGTTGGCCCTGATGGCCTGGATTCGCACTGAGTGGCACAGGCTGCGCGGACGTGCTTTTTGTTTCCAACCATCCTGTGGTGTTGGGTCCTCGTTTTGAAGAGACGGCGCCCCACGTTCCTCCTCCTCTCCTCCTCCTCCTCCCTCCTCCCCCTCCTTGCCTCTGCCCTCCGCATGTGTCCCTGTCGGCACACCCCTCACACGTTCCGTGGCCCCATAGGGAGCTCCACCGAAGGCCCCAGCGGCGGAACTCGCACGGCGGCCTCGGGCCATGTCGGCGCACCCCTCACGTGATGGCCGCGCCCGAGGACTCGCCCAGATCGCGGGGCCACTGGCCCGCGATGGAAGCGCGGACCCCGCCCTGGACCTGGGAGGCGGCGGAGGGGGGGGGGGGGGGGGGCATCCCCAGGACGCGCTCGCCACCAGCAGGCCCGGGCGCCATCGCGCCCACCATGGCACAGACCTGCCGTGACCAGGTCGCCCCGCCCTCCATCTCGTCGCAGAGGTCGGCAAGACCCCGGGCGCCGACGCTCGGGGGGCGGCGGTCGTCGACGGGGCCGACGCTGTCGACGCCCTTCGCCTCGCTGGGCTGGCCACGCTCGGGATGGACAAGGCGCGGCGCCCCTCGACGGGGGGGGCGGGTCGTCCTTCGCGACGCCGCGGAAGTTCCCGCATGCCCTGGCGAGCTCGTCCTGAAAGCAGGAAGTGGGCCCCCCTGGGCGCCCCTCCGCGCGCCCGCCGCCGCTGCCGCGACGCAGCGAGATCGCCGAAGGTGGCGCGGCCGCGCTTGATCTCGGAAGTCTCGCGGTCGGGATCGGCGACGGCGCGGCGCGGCTGGTCGGGCGCACCCTTCCACGCCGCCTGGATCCGAAATCGTCTGCGGTGAACTCGGGGGCCCCGATCTCGTCGGTCTCGAAGGCGATCTGCTTGCGGACGATGGCCCGCGCGCCGCGGCCCTCGTCGCCGCGGGCGAGGGCCGCGCAGCGCGTGATGAAGGAGGAGAAGAGTAGCCACCAGGCCGCCGCCGAGTCTGCGCGGCACGTCCATCCATGGCCCCCATCGCCCCCACCGCCCGGGCAACCGCCCAGCACCCTCGGGCGTCGGCCTCGCATCGCCCGGGGCGATGTGCGCCTCGAGGATGGCGATCTCCATGGCGCAGTCGCACGCGGAGCTTGTCGCAGGCGGCGACGCACTCGGGGGCAATGACGGGGACACCGCCCCGCTTGCCAAACCAGTGCCTGCCCCGCCACCAGTCGGGCTCGCAGTTCCAGACCGCCAGAATGACCCGCGGGTCGTGGAGCATGTCTACGAAGGTGGATACGGAAACCAGCGCGTCGCGGTTGGCGCCGTGGACTCGAGGCCCCAAGCGGGGATAGGCAGCGACCTCGGCAGCGCTGCCTGGCGCAGATGGCGCTCGGGGAGAACCCCGCGAAGGGCTGCCGGCTGCGTGGCAGCGATGTCCTCGCGCCTGAGTATCCACTCGCCGCCGCGCCCTTGTCCGATGCGTTGGCGGGCAGAGACGGCGCGGCGACCCGCTCCCGACCATTTGCCGCTCGCGGCCCCCGATCGGCGACGCTGCCGAAGAGGATCTGGGCACGGTCAGCCTTGCCGCCCAGCGCACCACCAACGTCGGAAATGCCAGGCCGCGACCCACCCACGTGGGAAAGACCTATCTGACCCCGCATCCTGCTGACCCCCCTTCGCGAGAGCCCGCGCCCGC